GCGGCCGCCGAGCTGAGCGCGCGCGGTGAGACCGCGGGGGGCGCGGGGCTCCGGGCGCGGGCGGCCTGACCGGGAGGGGTCGAGTCCCCGTCCCTTCACCGAAGCTGCCCTCAGCCTAAGAAAGGGGGCCGGGCCCCGTGCCGCTGCGGCGTGAGCCTAGTCTCCGCGCTGTTATTATCCCGGGGTCTGGTTCCTTCTTGGAGAACTTTCTTCTGCTCGTTCCAGGGGCGTTTGTAGGGCAGGGTAGGATGGGCGTGGATGGGGCTGCTGTGGTTTCCACGTCACCTGCTGGCATCTTCTCCCCAAACTAAGACGAAGCTAACCCTCCTGCTTCCCGCTTTGCCACCAAGGTATCTGCGTTCTCTTAGACCCCACACCCCCCAGCTCTCTCCACCACCACCGTCTCTTCCAGGCCTTTTGATCAGGCTCTTACTAATGTGTTCTGCTCTTGGCTGCTGGGTCTTTTTTTTTCTTCTCAGTTTTATTGAGGTATAATTGACATATAGCCCTGTAAAAGTTTAAGGTGTACTTCATAAGGACTTGACCTACATATATTGTGAAAGGATTACCGCAATAAGTTTAGTTAACATTCATCATCTCATATAGATACAAGAAAAAAGAAAAAAATTGTTTTTCCTTGTGATGGGAACTCACTCTTAGGATCAGCTTTCAAAGAACCAACCATACACCATGGTAACTGTAGTCATCATATTACATCCACAGCGCTTATTTTTCTTATGACCAAAAGTTTGTACCTTTTCACCTTCATCCAGTTTCCCCACCCATTCCCCCATCCTCCACCTCTAGTAACCACAAATCTGATCTCTTTTCCTAGGAGTTTGGGTTTTTCTGTTTGTTTTTTAGATTCCATGTCTAAGTGAAGTCATACTGTCTTTTTCTGTCTGACTTATCTCACTTAGCATAATGCCCTCAAAGTCCCTCAAATGTTTTCCCAACTGGCAGGATTTTCCTTCCTTTTCATGGCTGTGTAATATGCCATTATATATATGTACCACAACTTCTTTATCCATTCATCCGCCCATGGACACTTAGGTTGTTTCCATATCTCAGCTATTGTAAATCATGCTGCTGTGAACACAGGGATGTATATATCACTTCAACATAGTGTTTTCATTTCCTTTGGTTATATTATCAAAAGTGGGAGTGCTGGATCATACGGTAATTCTATTTTTAACTTTTTGAAGAACCTCCATACTGTTTTCCATAGTGGCTCCACCAATTTATATTCCTACTAACAGAGCACAATGGTTCCCCCTTCTCTACATCCTCACCACCATTTCTTATTTCTTGTCTTTTTGATGATAGCCGTTCTAACAGACGTGAAGTGATTGCTTATGATGGTTTTGATTTGCATTTCCCTAATGTTTAGTAATGTTAAGCACCTTTTCATGTACTTATATACCTTCTTTAGTAAAACAGCTATTCAGGTCCTTTACCCATTTTTGATTGGATTATTTTTCTTGCTATTGAGTAGTATGAGTTTTTATAATTTTTGGATATTAACCCCTTATCAGATACATGGTTTGCAAATATATTTTCCTGTTGTAAGGTTGTCTTTTTGTCTAGATCATTTCTTTTGCTGTGCAGAAAGCAGCTTTTTAGTTTGATGTCGTCCCACTTTTTATTTTCCTGCTTTGTGCCAAAAAAAACATTACCAAGACCCATGTCAGGGTTTTTCCTCTGTGTTCTTTTGGGAGTTTTATGATTTCTGATCCTATATTTAAGTCTTTAATCCATTTTGAGTCCATTTTTTGAGTGGTGTAAAATAGAGATCTAGTTTCATTCTTTTATAAGTGAATATCTAGTTTTCCTGGCACCATTTATTGAAAAGACAGTTTTTGTCAAGTATTCTTGACTCCCTTGTCAAATATTAGTTGACTGTATATGCATGGGTTTATTTCTGGGCTCTTGATTCTATACCACTGGTCTATGTCTGTTTTTATGCCAGTGCCATACTGTTTTGATTATAGTAGCTTTATAGCACGGCTTGAAATCAGGAATTATGGTGTCTCCCTACTTATTCTTTCTCAGCATTGCTTTGGCTATTTGGGATCTTTTGTGGTTTCACATAAATTTTACAATTGTTTTTCCTACTTCTATAAGAAATGCCATTGGAATCTTGATAGGGATTACACTTAATCTGTAGATGGCTTTGGGTAGTATGGACATTTTAATAACATTAATCCTTCCAGTCCATGAACATAGGATACCTTTGCATTTATTTGTGCCTTCTTCAATTTCTTTCATCAGTGTCTTGCAGTTTTCGGTGTAGAGATCTTTCATCTCTTTGATTAAATTTATTCTTCAGTATTTTATTGCTTTCGATGCTATTGTAAATGGGATTGCTCTCTTTTTCAGATAATTGTTTACGCTGAGTCTAAAACATGGTTTTGATCAGTTGATCTGGAATCTTACTGACTCTTCTAATTTGAAAATTGTGCCTAGAACTCTTAGACTCTCAGAAAAATTTAAGTGTTTCCCCTTGCCAGGAGCAGAGCCAGGATTTGTAAGACTTAATACAATTCTGGGAGACCTCTTTTAAAAAGACAAAATCATGAGATTGCTAGGGCGTTGGAAAGGGCCTGTGCATGTAAGGGACCCTGAAGCTTAAGATTTGTTGGTTTCACAGTATGTCTACCCCTGCCTGGTGGTTCTCGAACTGTATTTTAGTGTGCTGTAAAATAATCTGAGGGAGCTTGTTTAAAATACATATTCTCATACAGTAGTCTGAGATGAAGCCTTGGAATCTTTTTAACAAGTTCTCCAGTGATATGGGGACTGTAAGGCTGTGAGCCTTACAGCCCTAATGAATAACGTTTAATCAAGCTGGAACACTGAGATCCTTGCCCTCTGACCCCGCTATGCCTCTCCTACTTTCATTCCCACTACCTTCAACTCATGCAGTGGTTCTCAAATTTTGGTGGGTATGAGAATCACCTGGAGAGGGCTCATGAATCAGCTGGGCTCAGACACCTGGGTCTTTGTAGTTTTATCACGTTCTCAGGTGATTCTGGTACCCACCAAAGCTTGAGAGTCACTCTATTAGGCATTATTCTAGTCTTTCTCCATCCAGTCCTTGTATGGGCCGGTCCTTGCTCTTGTGTGCCTTTTCCCCAACCTGGGACGTTCTCCCTCCTTCTCTCCAACTCTAATCACTATGACCCACAGGGAGTTAATCCTTCCCTCAAGTTCATCTGTATCATTCATCTGGTCCCAATCACACATGCCAGCTTGCATAGGATTGAATTTTTCTTATGGCTACTCCATTTCCTCACTCCTTTTCATGGACTCTCAGTGTTGGGCAGGCCCTTGGACATCATCTAGTATATCTCCGAGCTCCCTCCCTGAACAGGGTGGATATGGGGGTGGTGCAGGCAGAGGAGAGATACTAAGTATTGAGGACCAGGATGAGAATATGTATTTTAAACCTTGACCAGTTTTCCTTCAACTACAGGGGAAGAGGATGCTAGGGGTGACAGGCTCATCCATGATCAGGACTTGGTCTGGCTGCAGCAAGCAGATGGTGAGTGGCCCTTCCTCCTTCCTAGGAACTCCTCTGGGGTGTTAGATCCCCTGAACGTGCCTGGCCTCCCCACCTAGGAGTCCCTAGAGCCCCCTCCTCACCACACCCACTCCATCATCTTTCCCTTACAAGCCAGTATTGAGCCTCAGTCTCATCTTTCTTCCTAGTGGTTGTGGCTGAAGTGACCCAGCCATCCTTGGGTGTAGGCTATGAGCTGGGCCGGGCCGTGGCCCTCAATAAGCGAATCTTGTGCCTGTTCCGCCCGCAGTCTGGCCGAGGTGAGAACGTCAAGCCTTGGATGGCAACTCCTTCCCTCCCCAGCTTTCTGAGGACTCAGCCCAAAGCCTTTTTCTTGGGGGTCTCTGATGAGTACAGTAGCTACCCACAACAAGGGCAGGGGAAGGGAGCAAAGAAGGAGGAGGGTGGAAGGGAGACATCTTCACCTTATTCCACCTTCCTAGTGCTTTCAGCCATGATCCGGGGAGCAGCAGATGGCTCGCGGTTCCAGGTGTGGGACTACGAAGAGGGAGAGGTGGAGGCCATGCTGGATCGATACTTTGAGGCTGATCCTCCTGAGCAGGTGGCTTCCTCCCCTGCCCCAACCACTTGACTTAAAACCCACTTTATTAAATAATTCTGATCCCAGACTCTGCTCTAGTACCATTCCTGCCTCTGAGCCCCAATACCAAATTAAAAGGTATGTTTATAATCCTAACTTTGTATGTGTGCTGTGGCAGGGCAAGTCCTCTGTAATATCCTCTTCCCACCCCACTTCACTTCGAGTTGTAATGAGACCCTTTAAAAACCTGTAGTTCCCCAAAAGGAGGACGATTCCTAATGCCCTCAAGCTCCTGCCAGGAACATTCAACAGTGTAAGGGAAGGCCAGTTGTGGAGGATGGCCTATCTCCCCTGATGCTGGAGCTGGGGCTGCGCCTGGCCCTGTACCATGTGGACCTTCACTTCCCTTTATCAGCTTAGGTCAAATGAGCTGCCTTTGGGCTCTAATGACAGAAGAGTCTGGAGGTCTAAAGGAAGCAATAAAGAATGAGGGGTCTGGGTGTGGGAAGTAAGGTGGCCTCCGGGAAGGACATCCAGCCTGATTCAGAGAAGCACATGGGAAAAGCTTATTCAGCAAATGAAGGGTGCTTCAGACGCAGCAGACTGCCACCCCCACCATGACAGCACTCAGGCGAACCCCAGCCCCTCAGCCCCGCAGCTCTGGGGCGGCTCCAGGGGCTCCCTGGACCCTGCCCCTCAGTCATAGGCCTCCTCCTCCTCCTCCTCGTCACCAAAGAAGAAAGTCTCTCGGTCCAGGTTCTCTGACTCTTCGTCATAGGAGAAGCTGTCGTTGTCCAGCTCTTCATCAAACTCATCCTGCTGCCACTCGGGCACATCATCCTCATCGTCCTCTTCCTCCTCATCCACCTCCAGCCCTGAGGAGCCCTGAGGCCTTGGGGGAGAGCGTGCCACTCAGCCCCAGAGGAAGCCTGGCGTGTCCCACCCCCTCCATGGCTGGGCCTGCCTGACTTACTGACTGCCGGGCACGTTGGACCCTTTTGCCTCCCGGGCCTCTAACGATGGACTCTGGAGACCAACCCGGAAGTCCTGGCAAAGAGACAGGAGGATGTGTGGAGTAGGAGAGTTGAGGCCTCTAGGTCTCTGTGCCCAGCATTCCTTCAACCAGTGTTGTCTGAGGGCCTACTAGGTGCCATGCCCCTGGCGGGAATGCTCCCACCTGCTCTCCCTCCCTCACCACAGCACCTCACAAACCACTGCCTTGTGACCCACAGTGAGTTAATCCTTCCCTCAAGTGGTCTCCAGAGACAGGACGCAATAGTGAGGCATACCAGCCATGTGCTTCAGGAGTTTACAGTGTACATTCATGTCTTTTCTGCCCAAGTTACCGGTCTGTAAGCTCCCTAAAGGCAGGACGCAGTTTAGACTCAACATCAGTGTATTAGAACTGGAAAGAACCTCAGTGGACCCTAACTCCCTGGCCCCTACTCCTGGGATTCTAAAAAATTCGCCAGGTGATTCTGATGAGCAAGCATCTGACTAAATACCCCTGATCAAAACCTGGGCTAACTCCTTTATTTTGTAGGCAATGCCACGTGGTTATGTGGCCGGCTCCAGCAGCATCCAGGAAGACGCTGGGGCACATACCCAGGTCTCTGAGCATCCATTCATTCACAATGCCTTTCCTTCTGTATGCCCCAGGGCAAGGGCTGTGATGGGCACAGGAGGTTCAGGGTTGGGGCGGCATACCTGAGTGGAATGCTGCAGGATAGCGAGCAGCCTTTCCTGGATCCGCCGGAGCAGCTCCAGGCCCGTGTTGAGGCAGTCCGCCCGCAAGAGGCGCAAGGAGGAGGCCAGGTCTCTGCACCGCAGTAGGGTCTCCTCTGCAGAGGGGGCAGGGCATGGGGACTCCCTCTCTTTTTTCACCCCTTCTATTCCTTCCTTCAACGAACACCTCCTGAACATCTACCAAGTTCCACCAACATCTACCAGGCCCAGGTCTAGACACTCGTTCTTATGGGTTTACACTCTAGTGGTAGGGACAGATCATAATCAAAATGTCAGATTAAGATCTGTGCCCTCAGGCATTTACAGCATGTACTGTATAACTCTGTAACAGAATTTTAAAAAGCTAATGGCCAACGGTGATGAGGCTATGAATTAGAAAGAGGAAGAGGACAAGAGTGAAGGTGGGGAGCTGGGGTGGGGGTGCTGTTTTGCATTACCTGTTGAGGCGGGATGTTCGTGGGGGGCGGGGGGGCAGGCCTCACCTAGGAGGATCTGCAGGGCATTGGTGTGCAGCTCCAGGTTCTCAGTCTGCTGCTCTACCACATCCATGTGCTCTGTGTCCTGGTTGTAGAAGCTGTACACGCAAGCGTAGGCCAGCACCTAGCGGGGCCCAAGTCAGGCTTCTCCCCTCTGAGGCATGGCACCTGACCTCCCACCTGATTCCTCCTCATTCCCCCATCCTGGCAGGTTAGAGGAAAGCGTCCAGCCCACCAGACCCCCTTGGCACATCCTCTCCTCCCACTCCCCGACCCACCACAACCTTTCGAGCCTGCTCAAGTCCCCGGCAGGCATCACTGAGGAAGGTGAAGGATTTGGGTGGGGGCACCTCATGGATGGCACATACACGGTTCCGCAAGTTCACAGCAAACTCCTGTGCAGAGGAAGGTGGATCGGTGCCAGCACAAGCAGCCCTGTCTCATGCAGTCAGAACAGCACCCCTCCAATTGGGACCTTTGGCCCCTCCCCGGCCATCTGCCCCAGCCCTCTGACCTCACCAACACAACTCTTGCCTCCCCGCTCACCCGGGCTTGGTGATGGAAAGTACACCTCTCATTATAGTCTTGAAACCGCTTCTCTTGACGAGCTGCCTTGCTTACCTGTAAGGACATGGTGAGAGGGCTACTGTGTTTTGCTGGGACAGAATGGGGCTCACCAGACTAGCTGTCATTCATTCATAGAGGCCTTTTGACACTTTATGCAGATTTTTTCATTTAATCCTCAGAACTCTGTGAGGTAGGACATATTATAGATGAGGATGCTAAAGTATGGACAAGTAAACTGACCCAAAGCCACACACTAAGCAGTGGAGCCAGGCTCCGACTCAAGAGTCCTTGCTCTTCTCTGCTCTGTCCTGCTGTCCTGAGAATGACCAACCCACCTAGCTGTGAGAAGTCCCACTTTGGGGCTGAAGGTCTCTGCACAGACCTCCCAGGACAGGCCTCCAGGTACCTATAGGCCTAGGTAGTTTCTGTCTTCTCTCTACTGAGCCTTTGTCCCCCAAACTGTTTGGCTGCTCTGGACACAGAGCCCTCTTTGCCCAGGGCCTGTCTCATCCTAGTTGCCTTTGGGCCTCTACCCTCCTCCCAGTGCCTGGCCCCTTACCATGGCAGAGCAGTTGTAATAGTCTTTGTGATTTGGCTTCCAGGACTTGAGGCAGCGCCAGCAGAATCCATGGTTGCATTTGGCACAGGTCATGCTATGGAGGAAGCCAGCTGGTCAAAGAGCTCCTGCCTCTGGCCAGGGCC